GCACAACTAAAAGCACTCGTGGGAATGACACCACCGCGGATCCATAAGCACGAAAACACTGGCGATAACAGGGAGAGAGAATGAATTGGAGGAGAGGGTGGGAGGAATGAATAGTGGAACTCGTGGCCCGCAGCCCGGGATGCAAACGTGCCCCGAGAGGATGGCTCACACCACTCGTTGGAGGTGGTACAAAGCCTCCTTACCTAACAGCGAAGACTGATAGGTTTCTAGTAGTGTCAAAAGAGAGCATCATGACTCCCGAGGGGGGTCTGGGCGGGATCCGGACAGGGTGCCCCGGGAAACCGGGGAAATCGGGGGACTCTTTTTAAGCCAACAGTAACGCCTTTCGTGGTCTTCGAGTTCCCAGAATTCCATTCCTGGGCATGATTTTGAATGCCCGGAGCCAACTGTAGGCCACTTCGTGCTCGTCGAGTTCCCAGAACTCCATTCCTGGGCATGATTTTGAATGCCCGGAGCCAACTGTATGCCACTTCTTGGTCTTCGAGTTCCCAGAACTCCATTCCAAAAGGCATGATTTCGAATGCCCGGAACCAACTGTAGGCCACTTCGTGGTCTTCGAGTTCCCAGAACTCCATTCCTGGGCATCATTTTGAATGCCCGGAGCTTCCATTCCCGGGCCACGTTTTGAATGCTGAGGCAGGCTGAGGCTGAGGCCGAGGCAGGCCGAGCCTGAGGCAGGCTGAGGCTGAGGCCGAGGCTGAAGGCAGACTGAGGCTGAGGCTAAAGCAGGCTGAGGCTGAGGCTGAGGCAGGCTGAGGCTGAGGCAGGCTGAGGCGGAGGCTGAGGCTGAGGCTGAGGCTGAGGTCAGGCTGATGCAGGCGGCAGGCAGAAGGGCAGAGGCTGAGTCTAGGTGCAAGGCTGAGGCTGAAGCAGCTGAGGCTGAGGCTGAGGCAGGCTGAGGCTGAGGCTGAGGCAGGCTGATGCTGAGGCAGGCTGAGGCTGAGGCTGAGGCTGATGCAGGCTGAGGCTGAGGCAGGCTGAGGCTGAGGCCGAGGCTGAATGCAGACTGAGGCTGAGGCTGAAGCAGGCTGAGGCTGAGGCTGAGGCAGGCTGAGGCTGAGGCTGAGGCTGAGGCAGGCGGATGCTGAGGCAGGCTGAGGCTGAGGCTGAGGCTCATGCAGGCTGAGGCTGAGACAGGCGGAGGCTGAGGCCGAGGCTGAAGGCAGACTGAGGCTGAGGCTGAAGCAGGCTGAGGCTGAGGCTGAGGCAGGCTGAGGCTGAGGCTGAGGCAGGCTGATGCTGAGGCTGAGGCTGAGGCGGAGGCTGATGCAGGCTGAGGCTGAGGCAGCTTGAGGCTGAGGCCGTGGCTGAAGGCAGACTGAGCTTGAGGCTGAAGGGCAAGCTGAGGCTGAGCTGAGGCTGAGGCTGATGCTTGGAGGCTGGAGGCCTGCGGCTGGAGGCTGAGTGCTGGGCTGAGGCTGAGGCTGAGGCTGGAGGCTGATGCTCATGCAGGCTGAGGCTGAGGCAGGCGGAGGCTTAGGCCCGAGGCTAAGCAGACTGAAGATGCTGAGGCTGAAGGCAGACTGAGGCTGAGGCTTAAGCAGGCTGAGGCTGAGGCTGAGGCAGGCTGAGGCTGAGGCTGAGGCAGGCTGAGGCTGAGGCTGATGCAGGCTGAGGCTGAGGCAGGCTGAGGCTGAGGCCGAGGCAGAAGGCAGACTGAGGCTGAGGCTGAAGGCAGGCTGAGGCTGAGGCTGAGGCAGGCTGAGGCTGAGGCAGGCTGAGGCTGAGGCTGAGGCAGGCTGATGCTGAGGCAGGCTGAGGCTGAGGCTGAGGCTGATGCAGGCTGAGGCTGAGGCAGGCTGAGGCTGAGGCCGAGGCTGAAGGCAGACTGAGGCTGAGGCTGAAGCAGGCTGAGGCTGAGGCTGAGGCAGGCTGAGGCTGAGGCTGAGGCAGGCTGATGCTGAGGCAGGCTGAGGCTGAGGCTGAGGCTGATGCAGGCTGAGGCTGAGGCAGGCTGAGGCTGAGGCCGAGGCCGACGGCAGACTGAGGCTGAGGCTGAAGCAGGCTGAGGCTGAGGCAGAGCAGGCTGAGGCTGAGGCTGAGGCAGGCTGATGCTGAGGCAGGCTGAGGCTGAGGCTGAGGCTGATGCAGGCTGAGGCTGAGGCAGGCTGAGGCTGAGGCCGAGGCTGAAGGCAGACTGATGCTGAGGCTGAAGCAGGCTGAGGCTGAGGCTGAGGCAGGCTGAGGCTGAGGCAGGCTGAGGCGGAGGCTGAGGCAGGCCGAGGCTGAGGCTGTGACTGCGACTGCCTTTGCCATTGCGACTGCCATCGCGAATGCGACTACGACTGCGAGAACAGCAGAATTCTACATCTGGATTCTCATCTGAATCTTAAGGGAAATGCTTCCAGATATGCTCCTACACATCGCTGTTCGGTTGCTTTGCCGGGTTTTTTTTTCTTTGTTTTTGGCTCCAGCCCGTTCGAGCCAACGCGGGGAGGGGCGAAAGGGCGACGGGGGGCGAGGGGGCGCGGCGCGCGCGGCGACAGGGCCTTGGCGCCTGGGCGTCCCGGCGTCCAGGCGCAGGCACCTTGCGCTCCTGGCGTCCGCGGGCGTCTGGTCCTCCAGGCGCCCCGGCGTCCGCGGGTGCAGGCGCCGGGGCGTCTGGGCGCTCTGGGCGCCCGGCGTTTGGGCGCGGGCGCCCTGGGCGCTCCCAGCGTCCGGGCGTTTCCCGGGCGTCCGCGCGTCCGGTCGCGGGCGCCCTGGGCGCTTCTGGCGCCTGGGCCTGGCTCGCCAGGCGCCCGGGCGTCCGGGCGTCCGGGCGTGTCCGGGCGTGTCCGGGCGTCCGGGCGCTGGGCGCCCAGGCGCCCGGGCGTCTGGGCGCCCGGGCGCCCGGGCGCCTCCGGCGTCCTGGCGCGGGCGCCCTCTCCCAGCGTCCGAGCGTTTCCCGCGCGCTCGGGCGCCCAGGCGCGGGGGCGCGGGCGTTCCGGGCGCTTTCTGGCGCCCGGGCGCCCGGGCGCCCGCGCGTCCAGGCGCCCGGGCGCTCGGGCGCCCGAGCGTCTAGGCGCTTCAGGCGCACGGGCGTCTGGGCGATTCAGGCGCCCGATCGTTTCTCGGGCGCCCGGGGCGTCCGGGCGTTTCCTGGGCGTGGCCCGCCGAGCGCCCGGGTGTCTGGGCGCCCGGGTGTCCAGGCGATTGGGCGCCCAGGGCTTCCATGCGTGCCCGGGCCTGGCCCGTCGGGCGCCCGGGCGTCCGGGCGCCCGGGCGCCCGGACGTCTGGGCGTGTCTGGGCGTGTCTGGGCGTCCAGGCGCCTGGGCGCCCAGGCGTCCGGGCGTCTGGGCGCTTCAAGCGCCGGGGCGTGCGGGCGCCCCCGCATCCGGGCGCCCCGGCACCCGGGCTCCCGGGCGTCCGGACGTCCGGGCGTCCGGGCGTCCTGGCGCCCGCGCGTCTTGGCGTTTCAGGCGCCCGGGCGTTCAGGCGCCCGGGCTTCCGGGCGCCCGGGCGCCCGGGTGCCCGGGCGCGCGGGCGGTTCGCGCGTCCAGGCGCCCAGGCGCCCAGGTGCCCAGGCGTCTGGGCACCCGGGCGCCCGGGCGTCCGGGCGTCTGTGCGTCCGGGCGCGGGCGTTCCGGGCGCTTCTGGCGCCCGCGCGCCTGGGCGCATGGGCGTCTGGGCGCTTCAGGCGCGCGGGCATCTGGGCGCGTCTGGGCGCGTCCGGGCGCCCGGCCGGGTGCCCGGGCGTTTGGGCGGTTCGCGCGTCCAGACGCCCGCGGAGTCCGGGCGCTCCGGCGTCCGGGCGTCCGGGCGCCCGGGCGCCCGGGCGTCCGGGCGTCTGGGCGCTGCGCCTGGGCGTCCGGGCGTCCGGGCGCCCGGGCGCCTGGGCGCATGCGCGCGCGTCCGGGCGCCCGGGCGTCCGCGCGCCCGGGCGCCCGTGCGTCTGGGCGTCCGGGCGTCCGGGCGCCAGGGCGCCCTGGGCGCTAGCACCCATGTCCGGGCGTTTCCTGGGCTTGGCCTGCCGGGCGCCCAGGGCGTCTGTGGTCTGGGCGTCCGGACTTGCGCCCGGGCGCCCGGGCGTCTGTCCGGGCGTCCGGGCGCCCAGCTGGGCCCTGGTAAAATTGCGCCATCCCTGGCTGCGGCGGCGTCGGCGAGACGACAACGACGATTCCGACGACGACGACACCGACGGCGGCGTCGGCGGCGAAGACGACGACGACGTCGACAAGGACGATTCCGACGACGACGACGACGGCGGCGCTGGCGACGGCGACGGCGGCGGTGGCGACGACGATGACGACGACGACGACACCGACGACGACACCGACGGCGGTAGTGGCGGCGGCGAAGACGACGACGACGTCTCCGACGACGGCGACGACGATGGCGGCGGCGGCAAAGACGACGACGACGACGACGACGACGACGACGACGACGACGACGACGACGACGACGACGACGACGACGACGACGACGACGACGACACCGACGGCGCCGGCGGCGAAGACGACGACGAAGAAGACGACGAACGACGACACCGACGGCGGCGGCGGCAGCGGCGAGGACGACGACGACACCGACGGCGGCGGTGGCGAAGACGACGACGACGATGACGGTGACGGCGGCGGCGGCGGTGGCGAAGACGGCGGCTTCGGCCGCGGCGGCGAAGACGACGACGACGACGGCCACGACGGCGGCGGCGGCGGCGAAGACGACGACGTCGACGACGACGACGACACCGACGACACCGACGACGACGACACCGACGGCGGTGGCGGTGGCGGGGAAGACAATGACGACGACGACGACGACGACGACGACGACGACGACGACGACGACGACGACGACGACGACGACGACGACGACGACGACGACGACGACGACGACGACGACACCGGCGACACCGACGACGACGACACCGAGGGCGGTGGCGGTGGCGGGGAAAACAATGACGACGACGACGGCGGCGGCGACGACGACGACGACCCGATTTTTGCGCTTCGATCCAGCTCAGGTCCGCCGGCGTCCGCGCCCGCGCCCGCCAGCGCAGGGCTGGACCTGCCGTTCGAGCTGACGCACCGCGGGTGGCAGGAGGAGTGCGCCACCGCCGCCCTACGCACTCGCCCTTGTCGCTTTTTGTTTTTTCCTTCCTCCCTCGCGGGTGCAGTCACAGAGCTCTGAGATACGGACCGCTCTGGCCAGGGACAACGACAGGGAGGGACAGGAATGCATTCAACCCACATCCTCGCCCCCTCGGCCCATCCCCAGCGACTTCGCTGGCCAACCTCGTTCGAAAAACGTCAACATGGTTCTCCAAGGCCCCTGCATCCTCACCGCGCATACCCATGCAAGGGGTCGACTGTCGGGGGGACGCGTCGACCCCTCGTCGCCCATGGAGCGCCGATGGGGTCTGCTGGCCCCGCCCCGCCCAGGAACGTCTGGACCTGTTCTCGGGAGCCCGTCGCCGATCGATCGGCGATGGGTCGATGACTCCCCCCGCTCCAAAGATCGATGTCCCGATGTGTCGATGTGTCGATCGGTCGATGCTCCACCCCCGTGCTGGCCCCTCCCGTCGCTGCCCTGCACCTGGGCCCACGGGGGGGCTCACGCTCTCGGGCCGCCTGCCCGCCTGGGGCCCGCCGTGGCCAGGAGCGCCCCCTCGCCCCCTGCTGCTCCTTGCGGCACCGCGACGCCTCCTCCGCTTCGAACTTCTCGCGGGGCCCCGGAAATTCGGGAAGGGAACAAAAACACATGGACACGATTAATCGTCGCTCCCCAGGAGAATCTGGGAAAACACGGGGAAGCGGGGGAGAATCTGGGAAACCATGGGAACCCAGAAGATATGGGAAAATATTGGGCATCCTTGGATTTGCGTCTATTCATTTGTGTGTCCACGGGCCCCTTTGAGGATGGCGTGGTGACCCCGCCGCTCGGTGAGTCGGGCGCGGGTTCCGTGGGGCCCGGGCCGTTCTCCGAGGATGTCTAGGGCGACTGGTGCCCCCCAGGGTCAGGGTTCCAGGGCCGCACGGTGACGCACCGCGCGGTGAGGTCGTTGGGGGATCCCGAGGTCACCACGCATCACCACATCACCAGACGGCCGTGGGGCCCCGAACACAAGATCGGATCAAGGATCTGGGCTCGTGGGCGTTCTTTGCTCTCTCCTTGGGCCGCGCGAGGCTCTAGGGCGCTAGGATGACCACACAGGGACCGAGCCTCCGGAAGGCACTGGCACGAAGTGAGGGGGTCCCGGAAGGCGCCGCCTCCCCCTCTCGGCGACGGTATAGGGCATATGTTAAGACATATTGACCCCCGAGGTCTGATTATTGTCCATGCCCCCGCTCTGGCCCTTCGTGCGGTTGGTACGCGAGCCAGGACATGAACAGAACGTCGCTCTCCTGTCCCGATGACTTGAACTCATCGGGCCCTAGAGCCCACCTCCAAAGCCCCCCTCCTGGGGCGCGCAGGTGTGGGTGGGGTTCCCTCCGATCCGCGTGGCGCGACGGGATCGCCGTCGCCGCTTCTGCCCCGCTTTGTGGGTCGGGGGGAGAGGGCGAGGGAGTGGAGGGGGGAGGCAGGGAGAGGGAGAGTTGGGGGCGAGGGGGAGGCGGAGGGGCAGGGAGGGGGGATACGCATGTCGAAGAACAGGTTTGGAGAGCGTCACCGCCGCCGCCGCCGCCCTCTCCTCCTCCTCCTCCTCCTCCTCCTCGTCCTCCTCCTCCTCCTCCTCCTCCTCCATTCATTTTCCTTAGAACTAACTTCTCCCCCGAGGCCAGCTTTTAGGGCGGTCCAGGCGTTTCGCCTGAGACCTCCTCACCATTTATGACCCTCAAGCTTAAACATTGACAACAGTTTCACATATGGAGGGGTGGTCGTTTTCAAGATGTGGCTCTCGCGTTAGCGCTGCGCACATTCAAGAGTTTCACGGATTGAGGGCGTTTCCTTTTCAAATTGTGACTCTCGCCTTAGCGCCGCGCACGTTCGATTGAATAATGCAAGATTTTCACGGATTGAGGGCGGTTCCTTTTCAAATTGTGGCTCTCGTTTTAACGTTGCGCACATTTTTTTTGTTTCGTTTCGGTTTGTTGTGTTTCTTTCTTTCTTTCTTTGTTTGTTTGTTTGCTTGGTGTTGTTATTGTTGTTGTTGTTTTTGTTGCTGTTGTTGTTATTGCTCTGGTCGTTGTTGTTGTTGTTGTTGTTGTTGTTGTTGTTGTTGTTGTTGTTGTTGTTGTTGTTGATATTCTTGTTGTTGTTGTTGTTGTTGTTGTTGTTGTTGTTGTTGTTGTTGTTGTGGTTGTTGTTGTTGTTGTTGTTGGTGTTGTTATTGTTGTTGTTGTTGTTGTTGCTGTTGTTGTTTTTGTTTTTGTTATTGTTGTTATTCTTGTTGTTGTTGTTGTTGTTGTTGTTGTTGTTGTTGTTGTTGTTGTTGTTGTTGTTGTTGTTCTTGTTGTTATTGTGTTGTAATTTGGCAGAAGTTGTACGATTTCCCATGGACGGCGTACCACGAATGGTGTTTTGAAGGGATTCAGAATTATGGGGGTGCAACAATTACGCTGACTCGTGGTGTTGAAGTCCCAGGAACGGCGTTCTGGCACGATTCAGGATCGTCAATACGCAACAGTCAGGGTTTGGCATGCATCAGGGTCTTCAAACGGATGTCTTCCAACAAGGCAGTTCACTCAGTGGAAATGAACCCTTGTAGGGGCCTATGAAGAGGGAGCTTGGAGGGAGGGTTTATTCCAACATCCTTGATGACTCTTGGGTTTACACTGGTCCTCCTCCGCCTCCTCCTCCTCCTCGTCTCTCGTCCTTCTTCTCCTCGGCTCTCCTCTCTTATCCCTCCCTTCTCAGTTCCCCTCTGTCCTCCCTGGCTTCTCCTCGCTCTCTCCCCTCGCACTCCTCCTCCTCCTCCTCACGCTCTCCTACGCTCTCCTCTCGCACTTCTCCTCGCGCTCCTCTCGTCTCTGCCTCGGCTCTTCTCTCGCACTTCTGTCGCACTCGTCTCTCGGGCCACCCACCCGTATCAGACGAGGCGTGCCGAGGGGGTACTGGCAGGGCGGGTTGTCCAGGGGAGTGGCCCTGCCCCGCCCGACTGGTGCGTACGGCAAGGGAGGGAGAGAGGGCAGGACGACAACCCGTGCCACAGTGCGGGCGACGTCGTGCTGATCTCGGGATGCCAGGACGGGCGGTGCGCTCTGACAGGGCACGACGAAGGTAGGACGATTCGGTAGCAAATCACGGGAGTCTTGTGCCCTCGCAACTCCGTCTTTAGAAGAGGGCGTTAGCGTCGATTAGTTTCTGGTGATCGATGAGATAGCGCCGATTTAGCGTCGACTAGCGTCGATTAGCGCCGATTTAGCGTCGACCAGCGTCGATTCAGAGCCGACTCGCAAGAGCCAACAAGATGGTATGAGGGGCTCCCATGTGTTGCCACAGATAAATCGGATGAGCATGGTTCGGTAATCTCTGAGAGTCGGCAGGTCCAGAGGATGTATCCGGCGACGCGGCCGTTCCATGGCGTTCCAGAAAAAATGAGAGCGTTTCGAAGTGAGCTCCGGGGCCGTCGTCCCGAGTTCGACCCAGAGGCCCCGCCCGGCACCGGGCCCAAGTGTCGCTTTCGGGAAGTCGAAGTCTCATTTTGAAGAAACTCGGGATCACCGACTCTCGAGCGGAGCTACGCGTGCGACGCCTTCGGCAGTGGCAGCGCTTCGCTCGGTTCCCCGAGGATCGCGCGCAGCCGCTCGCCGTGCTGTTTGGCAGTCTTGATGGCCGAGGCGAGGGGCCGACCCGTCGGGGGGGCGGGCGTGTCGCCGGCAAGGCCAATCCGCGGGCGCTCCAGCTGGGGCGCGATGCCCGGGCACCGCGGTGCCTCCGTGCCAGCGACGAGCTCGTGGAAACATTTGCTGGGCGAGACATCTTCGCCAGGTCTACTGGCGCCAATGAGCTCCGTGGTTTCGACCCGAAGCAGCTCCGTCAGGTGTCTGTGCTCCGAGGCCATCCTAGAAGTTCCACGAGTACTTCCACTGGCGCCCCAGAGGACCCCCAGGAAGTGTTCATGTGCGACCTGCCTGGAGAAGAGGAGGACGGGAGGAGTGGCCTGGTCTTCTGTAGTCGTGGGGCTTTCATTGCGCGCCAATGTTAATTCGGGCATATCCCTCTACGGAAGGAAAATTCAAAAATAGGCAAGCATTATTCACTGCCTGGAGCTCCCCATATGTGCATATATTAGCATTGACCTGTCCGCGCCTGCTTGTCTATGCGCAGGAGTTTTCGAATATTCACGGGCTTGAGTATGGACGGTGTGGGGGTGAGTCTAACAATGAATGAGTTTGAGTGTGAATGAATCTCAGTAGTATTAGTGCGTCTCTGCGTATGAGCCTGGAGCCTCCTGGGGCCTCTTGAAACCTCCTGGGGCTTAGTGTGGCCTCCTGCAGCCTCTTGGGGCCTCCTGTGGCCTCTTGGGGCTTCCTGTAGCCTCCTGAGGCCTCCTGGGGCCTCGTGTGGCCTCCTGGGGCCTCCAGGAGCCTCCTTGAGCCTCCTGGGGAGGATTCGTGCCCCAGGAGAGGCCCAATATGTAGGAACATGAGTACATCAAACACGGCGGATTGGAGCCGCAAGAGAAGGGCAATCTATAGGAACACGCGTAAAACACCAAGGACTCGTGCCCCAGGGGAGGCCCAATCTATAGAAGCATACGTAGAACACTTAGGATTGGACACAGAGGAGAAAGACAATATGTAGAAACATATGCAAAACACAACGATTTCGTGCTCCAGGGGAGGCACAATCTATAGGAGTATACGTACAACACATGGGATCGGAGCCTTCTGTGGCCTTCTGAGGCCTCCTGCTCCTGGGGCCTCTGGGGCCTCCTGGTGCCTTCTGGGGCCTGGTGCCTCCTGGCGCTTCCTGTTGCCTCCTGGGGCCTCCCCTCCGGTGGTCTCCTGGAGCATCCCTGGAGCCTCCTGAGGCCTTCCCACCGCCCTGCCTCTGGCCAGAGGTCGATCCCTGGGCCCTGCGGCGCTGTGCGCACGGCCTCTCCTGGCCGCAGACCTGCAGGCATGAACAGAAGCTGTCCTATCAACGTCGAGAGTGTCTGGTGAAGGGTGTGGACATCGGCGTGGATGAAGTCGACACCGGCAGCATGATGTCGGAGGAAAAATCTGCCAGCGGACGCCCTGGGAGGCGATGGGTACAAGGGGGCCAAGAGGGCGACAGCGGACATCTGCAACCGCCTGGCACTGCAAGGCTTAGCGGGGACCCTGACCTACGCCTATTCCCTGTGCTACAGTGGGATCACGCCTTGGTGTGTGCAGTCGCACTGAGGATTGGTATTCGCGGCATTATTGGGCCGTCCTAGGGTGAGCGGAGCTCCTTCTGAAAAGGGCACGAGCCTGGCCCCCCCGTCCTCACCTCTCCACAGGCATCTCCGGCTGCACGTAAGTCGGTGGTGGTCAAGAAAAGGGCCGTGCTCCTCCCTGCAGTACCCGTACTTGTCTTCAGCGGCGTCGTAAGTGATGACGAGGTCGCAGTGTGTGGCGTCAGCGCAACTGTCGGCCAGGTCCGCGGATACGAGCACTCCACTGCATGCGCCGCCTCCTCCTGCCTCGCCTCGCCCGCCTCCTGGCCGCCTCCTCAAGGCTCCATCTGCGCTCCACTGTCACGTCCTCATCGTCTCGTCCTCGTCCTCCTCCTCCTCCTCTTTCTCCTCCTCCTCCTCCTCCTCCTCCTCCTCCTCCTCCTCCTCCTCCTCCTCCTCCTCCTCCTCCTCCTCCTCCTCCTCCTCCCTCTCTCCGCAGCAGCAGCAGCAGCAGCAGCAGCAGCAGCAGCAGTAGCCTCCTCGTCCTCCTCGGCCCGCACTGCCGCCTCTCTGGTGCCCCGTGCGACGTCCGTCATTCTGAGACTCCTCGCTCACGTCCTGGCTGCCTCATGCCTCCTCTGGGTTCCCTCTGCGCTCCTTTGTCACCTCCTCATGGTCTCGTTGTCCTCCTCCTCGCCCTTCTCCTTCTCCTCCTCCTCCTCCTCCTCCTCCTCCTCCTCCTCCTCCTCCTCCTTCTGGTCGCCCTCCCTCGCCTCGTCGTCCTCGGCGCCCGCCGCCTGTCCTTGTGCCTCACGCGACGGCCGCCGCCGCCGCCGCTTGCACCGCCGCCGCCGCCGCCAGGCGGGCCAGGGTCGCCCCTGGCCGCGGCTGCTGCAGCCGCTGCAGAATGGCCCGCGCCATCTCCCGGTGAAGGGAAATGGAGAGTCGCTGGGCCATCCTGTCCGCTATGCTGGCGGCCTCCTCACCGCACGCGTCGGCCGCGCGCTGGGCCAGCACGGCGAAGGCGCGGCGCGCCACGCCGCCCCAGCTCCCGCCGTTCGCCTCCACCACCATCTGGATGAAGGTGAGGTCCGCGTCGTGGCAGGCCTGCGCCGTGCCCTGGTGCTGCCGCTTGTACTCCTCGTACCTGTCAAGGGCGGCGGCCAGGTCGGCGGCGGAACGCGCGATGCGGTCCGCGCGCAGGCCCGGCGTGACCGCGAAATCCAGGGGTGCCGAGAGGCCGCCGCGCCACTGGGGGACATAGACACCCGCTGGCCGGCGGCCGGCGTTGTCCAGCCCGTCGCCGTCCGGCTCCTCGGCGTTCGGCCCCTCGCCAGGTGCCCGCGGCGGCAGCAGTCCGGGCCGCTCCAGCTCCGCCCCCGAGCCGGCGGCGTGGGCGGCGAAGAAAGTGCCGTTCCGCAGCTTGTTGTGGCGGCGCGTGCGGTCGCCCTGGCAGGCGCACGTCAAGGCGCGGTCGCAGTGCACGTCCATGACATCCCCGAGCGCCGGGCAGAATGCTCCCTCGTCGATCAGCTGGGCCCGGAGCCGTCGCTTGATCCCGATCTGCATCAGGCTGTGCGGGACTGCTGTGCCGAGCGCCTCGCTGAGGGCGCCTGCAGGTGCGCGCTGTCGCCAAGCGCGGCCACCAAAGCGAGGTTGGCGCGCGTCGCGGGCGAGGAGCGGCCCCAGAGGGCGGCGCGCGCAGCGTCGTCGACCTGGCCCGATAGAGAGCCTTCTGGTTGGAGTGTGTCTCGCAGTCGAAGCGCGCGGCCCGGTCAGCCTCCGCCGCGCTGGCGTTGTGGGTCTGGGGCGCCGCGGTCAGGGCCCCGGCGTCGCCCGCGTTGTCGTTTGTGTAGCCCGCGTACACTGACCAGCAGAACTCGCTGCTCTTTGCGCGCGAGGAGAGGTAGGCCGCCGGCGAGTGCTTCTCGGCGGAGCGCAGCCCCAAGCCGCCCTTGTTCAGTTTCAGCTGCGCTTGGGCCCAGGAGTCGACGGTGAAGGAAGCGCAGGCGAGCTGTTCTAGGCAGGAACGAGCTGCGGCGTCCATTTTCGGGAGGGCCTCGGTGTGGGCGGAGGGCGGCACCACGCGCGCCGAGTAGCCGAGCTTGCAGTACTGAGGTTGCCAGGCCGGCGTTTTGCGCGAGCTCCTTGAGGCTACGGCGCGCCGTCTCCGCGCAGCGTTGGAGTGCCAGAGAGAAGAACAGTGGGCCAATTGGGTCGCCCTGCTGGACACCGCACTCGGAGCTCAGCGTCTGTTTGCCGAGGAAGAGTAGCGAGGGGCTGCCGTAGCACCAGTCCGCCCAGGGTGCCAGCGCGAGAAAATTGTTGTGCACTTCTCTGAGGACGGCCCTCCGGTCCACGGTGTTGAAAGCGTTCGAGAGCTTCCTGGGGCCTCATGGAAACTTTTGGGGCACCCTGTGGCCTCTTGAATCTTCCTGTGGTCTCCTGATGGAGGTCGCGTCCTGGGGCCTCCTGGAGCCTTCTGGAGCATCGTGTGGCATCCTGGGGAGGATCCGTGCCCACGAGTCTGGCCATCAAACCAGGCAGACCGATCGAGACATCCTCAAATTCTGGCCCCACTTAGGAGCGAATGTGAGCGCTTCGTTCGAGACATCCTCCGAACTTCTTCCGGAAGCGGAGGATGTAGGGCCACAAAACAGGCAAACCGTTCAAGACATCCCCGCCATTTTGGCGCGAACGGAGGAGTGCAAAACCCCCTTGGCGGCTCACCCTGTGGGGTGCCGAAGCCCGCGTTTCGATCGAGACATCCTCCAAATCTGCTCCGGACGCGGGGGATGTTGGGCCACAAGACAGGCAAACCGCTCAAGACATCCCCGCCATTTCGGCGCAAACGGAGGAGTGCAATACCCTCTGGCGGCTCCCTTTTTGGGGTGCTGAAGCCCGCGCCTCGTTCGGGACTTCCTCAGAATCTAAATGGAGGGAGCATGAGTGAACATGAGTGGGTAGGAGTGGGTGTGAACATGAATGAACATGAGTGAATGTGATTATGTGTGTGAGTCTTGGCCAGAATAATTCTGAAAGAATATGAGTATGACGGAATCTGAGTGTGAACACATCTGAGTATAAGGGAATCGAACTAGGAGGAGACGAGGAAAGGAGAGGAGGAATATAAGAGGAGGAACAGAGGGAGTAGGAGGCGTCAAAGTAATTATTCACTGCGTGGAGCTCCCCATATGTGCATCTATTAGCATTTACCTGCCCGCCGTGCGTGTCTAGACGCACAAGTTTTCGAATATAAACGGGCTTGAGTTTTGACAGCCTGGGAGTGCAATTAATTGTGCCAGAGTTGGAGTCGAACTGCAGTGTGAATGAGTCACAGTAGTATTTGTGCCTCTCTGCGCATAAGCTTTGGGCCTCTTGGGGCCTCTTGACACCTCCTCGGGCTTCCAGGGGCCTGGGCCTCTTGGGGCTTCCTGTGGCCTCCTGTAGCCTCCTGGGGCCGTGTGGCTTCCTGAGGCCTCCAGGAGCCTTGTGGGGCCTCCTGGGGCCTCCTGGGGAGGATTCGTGCCCCAGGAGAGGCCCAATGTACAGGAACAGGTGTAAAACATGCCGGATTTGAGCCACAGGAGAAGGGCAATCTATAGGAACATTCGTAAAACACCAAGGACTCGTGCCCCAGGGGAGGCCCAATATATAGCAGCATAATAAAGCACTTAGGAGTGGATACGCAGGAGAAGGACAATTTGTAGAAACGTGCGTAGAACACAAAAGGATCCGTGCTCCAGGGGAGGCCCAATCAATAGGAACATATGTGAAACACTTAGGATTTGAGCCAGTCCTGTGGCCTTCTGAGGCCTCCTGGTGTTTCCTAGGGCCTCCTGGAGCCTCTTGGGGCCTCCTGGGGCCTCCTGTGGCCTCCTGTGGCCTCCTGTGGCCTCCTGTGGCCTCCTGTGGCCTCTTGATACCTCCTGGGACCACCTGTTGCCTCCTGGGGCCTCCTTGCGCATTCTGTAGCATCCTGTAGCATCCTGGGGAGGATCCGTGCCCACGAGTTTGGCCATCAAAGCAGGCAGACCGATCGAGACATCCCCGCAATCTGGGCCACCAGGGGTGCGAGAACCAGCGCCTCACTCGAGACATCCTCCAAATCTGCTCCGAAAGAGGAAGATGTTGGGAACCGAAACGGACAAACTGCTCAAGACGTCCCCGCCATTTTGGCGCGAACTGAGGAGAGCAACGCCCCCGTGCGCCCCCCTCTCTGGGGTGACAGCCAGCGCCTCGCTCGGGACTTCCTCAGAATCTGCTTTGAAAAAGCAGGATGCTGGGAACCCAGACCAGCACCTCGCTCGAGACAGCCCCGCCATTTTGGCGCGAACGGAGGATGGCCATGCAGCCTGGCGGCCCCCCCTCGGGGCTGCTGAAACCCGCGCCTCGCTCGAGACATCCTCAGAACTTGCTCAGCCATCATCAGCATGATCACCATCATCGTCATCATCATAATCATCACCACCATAACATAAAGAGCAAAATGCCATAACATACCACACCATACCATACCACACCATAGCATACCATACCATAATTTACAATATTATCACGTAGCATGCCATATCACAACATAACACACCACACCAAACCATACCATACCATACCATACCATATCATACCGTACCATCACATGGTATACTATATCGCATCATAACATAACATACCATAACTCACTATGCCTTAACATACTATAACCTTAAGCATTTCATAACAAATGCCACACCATAACATTACATACTATGCAGATGATGCCGGGGAGGGAGGAGGGAGGAGCTGCGAGTATCGGCGCGGTCGGAGTAATAAGAATAACCAATGTTGTTTCGATATGGGGAGTAACAACCCCATCTTAGGACATGGGGAAGTCGTCTGAGCATCAGTTGTCTATTATTTCTGATTGCTGTTGAGCTTTCTTGATTTTTCTTTATTCATTCAATTTTTGCACGAAATCCGCCTGATGGGGTGCGTGCCCGACCTTGCGCCAATGCCATCGTCCTAGTTGTGAACCACGGGTCCTGGCACAGATGTTAGTAATTGCGAACCAGTGTCTGCGCTGCATGTCCAGGTTCAAGAGCCAGGTAATTGCGAGACGTCATGTCGTTCAATCCCTTCGCCGTGGTCGATGCCAGTGCGACCCGTGCCCCCGCGCGCCCCCTGCCACGGTGCCCGAGGACCTCCGCTGCCCATTCTGCTGACTGTGGGCCACCTGGCTCGAGGCATCTGGATCAAGTTGCTTCCCTTCCTTAGCTGCGGCGTCGCATCAGAGACGCGCGCGCCGCCGCCGCCAGGCCTTGTCTCGGTTGAGTGGGACGGACCTGGCCGCCCGTGCCCCAGGCCACGAGCCCGCTGGCCTCGACGCAGCATTGCGGCCCCGAAGCGGAGAGAGAGGTCGCGCCCCCCGCCGCCAAGACCGCTCACGAGGTGGAGACGCTTCCCGAGGCGGGCAGCGAGCAGGTCGGCACCAGGGCCTCGGGGCCCTGGCCGCGGCAGCAGCTGCTGGTGGGCCCCCGCCCCCACGGGTCGGCAGCGTCATGCGCAGCAGGGAGGTCACCGCCAGAGCGTGAACCATGCTCGCAACCAGCTCTTGCAGAGCGCCGACGTGACGCGCGGGCTCCAGCGCCAGGACGAGACGGGTCTCGGCGGACGACGCGTTCCTGATCGAACCCGTCCAGGCTCTTCTTTCTGGGATGGTGCGCGCGGTGCTCAAGAACTCGCGGGGGTTGGCAGCGCCGGGGGCGTCGATCTACCGCGCCATGCATCCCGATTGCGATCGCCAAGCGTGCAAAGCTATGGGGGTCACGGCCAAAATTTACATGGACGAAGCCAAGCGTCTCCGCCGCGACCGCGCTCGGGAGCTGAAGGGCCAGTGGCCAGTGCCCGACTTGCGCGAGCTCGGCGCGCCTCGCCCACACTTGTGGCTCGCGCTTCTCGGCGGCGCGGTCCAGCCAGAAGAACGAGCCGGAAATGTGAACTGCCGCGCGCTGAAGCAGAGCGCCGGCGCAATCAAGGCCGCCCCGACGATCACCGACGAGAGCCTGTGCCTGTAGGTCCGCTGCTGTCGCATCTCGTGCACCCACGATCGCAAGCTGTTGAAGATGTATGTTTTCGGACAGCGTCGTGACGATCTAGGGCCAAAGGCCGAGAGGTCGAACGCATTTTTGCTGCGGCCCGAAAGTGGTCGGGACGCCCAGCTGGGCTCGTCGTCGCCGTCGACTCTGCTGGGGCGGCTGGAGAGTGGTCAGGATGCCCTGAGAGGCTCGACGTCGTCATCGTCTCTGATTAGACGGCTCGATCTCTCGGGATCAGCGACCGCGGCGGCCTCGTTGTGGCAACTAGTGCGTTCTCATAGTATCAGGAGGGAAAAACACACACAGACACAATTAATCCTCGATTCCCCAGAAAATATGGGAAAATATGGGAAGTGGGGGGGAAGACAGAAACCCAGAAATTATGGGAAAATATGGGGAATAGTGTTATCTGTGTGTATTCATTTGTGTGTCCTGGGGCCCCTTTATATTAATCCTCCCCAGTGCACCGCAGGCTGCGCCTGCAGCCTCTCGGAGGCCTCCGACGTCTCCGCCTTCAGCCTCGTCGGTTCTGCTGATGGCCACTCGTCCGTCCGCCTGTCCTATAGGCCTTAGGCGATGCTTAAGAAAACTTAAGTTTTCGGCCAGAGTCTCGATTATTCTTAACGTTTCAATGTAAATCCTAAGATTTTGGATAGAAATGTTTGGTTTTTATTTAAGTTCTGAGACCATGAATTTCTTAACACATGATTTCTTAACCATTTCGCGTGGTGTAGGCTTGGGAGGCAGGGGTGAAAAGGGAGAGGCAGCAGCCGTCGAATTCTAGAGTGCTGCCGCTGCCGGCGGCGGGATCCCTGGCTTATGTCCCTCCTTTGAGACCCTCGCCCGTGCCTCCTCGCCCCACTTCCTGTCAGAGTTTGAGCGCCAGCATCCCTAGACTGATCGGAGCGGCCCTTCGTGGAAGCCCGTCTTTTTCTCTTCCTTGGTTCTTGTCCTTGGGCGCCGGATCTTCGGTTCTTCTCCTTGGTCTCGATTGCTGGCCCGTCCTCGCTAGTTCTTGTATCCGCCCGTCAACTTCTTGATGGTCGTCCCAAAGCAGCTGAGGAGTTCCAGCCGCTTCTAGCCACAGAGTTATGCCCGTTCTGTGCGCCGAGGAGCGTGTGATCCTCCGCGTGCCAAGCGCCGCTATCTGCGCACCCGAGGGAGTACTTACGCAGGACCTAAGATTTTCCTCTTGAGGTGCAAATGGCGATGATGAGTTGGAAATTGATGACCGAACCCCCTTTCCCCCGTAGAATCTTAACACGGGCGGGTTCCAGGGTCCGCGGATCCCATTTCTTCCGGTTTCCCGGTTTAGTTTAGTATTATAAGTTTTAAGCGGGGTTAACATCGGATCCGCCGTAACAATAGGACCGAACATGGATCCAGCAAATCCGAAGTCGGATCCGCGCGGACGGACATCGGATATACCGAAACAATCACCAAATCCACATTTGGATCCGCGCGAACTTCATGGGATCCGACGGCGGTTATCTCATACGCGTCTGCTTAAGACTTCAAACCGTCGTTCTGGGCCCAAGAGGAGACAACACTTTCGTCCTGGGGTTGTAGAGCTAACTTTTGGATCTTAGAGGCTTACGCCATTCCGCCGACGCCCAGGGGAGGAAAGAAGTTCTCGGGGAGGAGTGTGTGTGTGTGTGTGTGAGTTTCTCATGTGCTTCGAGGTTTCTGGGATGGGTTCAAGCTCTTCGTGGCATTTCGGGTGCTTCTTGGGAGCCTCCTGGGGGTTCGAGGCCTGTTGTAGACTTCCTGTGAAATCTTGGGGCCGCCTCGGGGGCTTCTGGGGACTTCTTGGGGCAATTTTGAGGGAAAGGCTCGACGTGTGAGTTCGTGCGCGCCCTCTTGGGCTCTTCTCAGGCCTTTGTGGGCCTGTTTTGGGCTATCTTTGGCGCCCCTGGGCCGTCTTGGGGCTCTCTGAAATTCCTCATGGGTTATCTTGAAGCTATCTCGGGGGTTCTTCTGGACGTTGTGGACATTGCGAAAATGAACACGAACACGCCAACATTGTGCGTGTTTTTTCCTTATTGGAATAGGACGATTTTTGTCCTCTCGCTGGTCTTCCGGAGCAATCGAGAGCCGTCCTAGGGGCCTCGTGGGACCTCTTCACTCCATCTTGGACATTCCCGTGGTTGCTTGGGCCCTCTCGACGCGTTCTTGGGGGGTTGCCTTAGGGTTCTCTTTGAGCTTTCTTGGGCTGTCTCGGGGCGTTGTGGAGGCTCCGGAGAAAGCCTTCGGATGGTCGACGAGCTCGTCCCTCCCTCCCCGCCCTCTCCTCGGATTTTGGACCTTGGGGGAGGGGGAAAGGGAGAGGGGGACAGCCAAATGTCGCACACGCCTTTTCACCCCCCGGCAAGCGTGGGTCGGCGGACTTCAGCTTTGGCCGAATTCGCACTCGTGTTCCTTGATGAGCCTGCCGTCGCCGCCCTCCTCTAGGTTTGACAGCGCGTTGCTCTTGCTGCTGGCAGTTGTTGGCGGCGCTGCCCCCGTGCGTGCGCGCCCGCGCGGGGCCGAGGACGACCAGTGCAGCTCGGACGGCGGCGGTGGATACGGGTGCTCGCGGCGAGGGGGGGGCAGAGGGAGAGGGGAATGGAGGGCTGCTGAGGACGAGGAGGAGGAGGTGGATGCTGAGGAGGAGGAGGATGAGGAGGAGGAGGAGGAGGAAGGGAATGATTATGATGATGTTGACGAAGCTGGTTCTGATGATGATGCTGATGGTGACGATGATTATGATGATGAGGAGGAAGATGATGATGATGAGGAGGAAACGTATGATGACGATGACGATGATGATGAGAATGAGGAGGAAGAGGATGATGATGACGATGAGGAGGAGGAGGAAACGGATGAGGATGATGATGCTGATGCTGGTGTTGATGATGATGAGGAGAAAGAGAAAGAGGATGATGATGACGATAAAAAGGAGGAGGAGGAGGAACCGGATTGTGATGATGAGGAGGAGGAGGATGAGGAAGGGAATGATGAATATGGTGATGATGATTATGCTGATGATGATGTTGATGATGCAAATGAAGATGATTATGATGATGATGCTGATGCTGATGCTGATGGTGCTAGTTATGCTGAGGAGGAGAAAGTGGAGGAGGAAGAGGATGACGATGATGAGGAGGAGAAGGGAGAGGAGGATGATGATGATGAGGAGCAGGATGTTATGGATGCTGATGATGATGCTGATGATGCAAATGAAGATGATGATGATGATGATGACGATGACGACGATGATGATGATGATGATGATGATGATGATGAGGAAGAGGAGGAGGAGAAAAGATGATGATGATGATGATGGCGATGATCAAGACATTCTGAGAATGACAACGATGACGGCGACGACGACGATGACGATGATGATGCTGATTACGTTGATGATGGGGGTGGTGATGACGCTGACGGTGATACTGATGATGATGTTGCTTATGATGATGATGATGATGATGATGATGATGATGATGATGATGATGATGATGATGATGATGATACTGATGCTGATGATGATGATGATGGTGATGATGATGATGATGATCACGATGGTGATGGTTACGATGCAGATGATGGTGATGGTGATACTGACGATGCTGATGATGATGATGACGATGATGATGATGATGATGCTGATGATGATGATGATGATGATGATGCTGAT